AGAACTTTGGCCCCTTTCTTATTCATTGTTTGGAGCCTAGCTCCAACCGTCCTAGCTCACCTGTCTCCCCTGTGCCCTGGTCTCCTGTGACCTCCCATCTTCTCTCTGGTTACATCCAGTGCAGGGATTGGCCGGACAGGCTGCTTCATCGCCACGCGCATAGGCTGCCAGCAGCTGAAGGCCCGAGGGGAAGTGGACATTCTGGGCATCGTATGCCAACTGCGCCTAGACAGGTGGGTCCGTAGGAAGCAGGTGCAGCCATGTTAATTGGCAATGGCATTGGTGGTTCTGAGCTATTGGGCACTCGCCTTCAGGCCGTCCCGGAGAAAAGCAAGCAACTCATTTTATTTAAAAAGCTTTCTGTTTTGCCAATAATTAAGCCCGCATGAAAGATCATCTGACATGTTAGCTTGGGGGCCTGGAGTTAAACGTGTCACCCTGAAGTTTCCTGCACCACCCCCTAAGTCCTCTACTCAGGGGAAAGCTAGGAAACAAGAACTCAGTCAAGGAGAAGAATGAGACTTCGGGTCTGTAATCCCGCACTCAGGAAGCTGAGGCAGGTGAACGGGAGTTCAAAGCCAGTGTGGGGCTACTTAGTTAGCTCAAGGCCAATGTGAGCTGCATAGGGAGACTCTTGTCTTGGCTAATTTTTTGAAAAGATACAACTTGCTCTAGATACAAAGTAGCTATAGCACTCACTGGGCTTGGAGGAAAAGAAGCAGATTCAGACTCTGGTGCACTGTGCCACTATTGTTAGCACAGTTTTTTGTTTTTGTTTTTTGAGTCAGAGTCTCTCTGTGTTCCTGGCTAGCCTGGGGCTCACTATGTAGACTAGCCTGGCCTCAGCCTCCCAAGTGCTAGGATTAAAGGTGTATACCACTACACTCAGCACCTCCATTTTTATCTAGAGAGGTAATGTCTATTTCCCAAACTGGGAAAGGGATGGGTTCTCTTCTGAGAGTGTTTTAGAAATGGGACCTGTTGTACACATGTAAGGCTAACTTTTTTATTTATTTAAATTTATGTGCACTGGTGTGAAGGTGTCAGATCCCCTGGAATTGGAGTTACAGACTCCAGCTGTGATGAGGGTGCTAGGAATTGAACCCCGGTCCTCTGAAGAACAGCCAGTGCTCTTAACTGCTGAGCCCCCAGTTAACTGTTTTTATTGAGAAGTAAAAAACTTGAGCATGGGAACACATTCTTGTCCCAACCTGAAAAATCAGGTCTGGTTTGGCTCAAGAGCTGGGTGGGTAAGAGACAGAGTCCAGATGAGGCATCGCCCCCTGCACTTCCCTCCTTGGGACTGCCCTGAGAAGGGGCACTAAGGAGACCGTGAAAGGAGGGTGGCTGTATGGAGAGGAGAGAGTCGGGCTTTCCCAGCAGGATGGGAGGGAAGGCTTAGCCACACGCACAGGGCAGGTATTCTGACTCATCCTCATTCTGTGCTTCTGCTTACAGAGGAGGCATGATCCAGACTGCAGAACAGTACCAGTTCCTGCACCACACGCTGGCCCTGTATGCAGCCCAGCTGCCCCAGGAGCCCAGCCCCTGATCCCGCCTGGGACGGTGGATCTGGGGAAGTGGGCTGTGTGCACTGGGACAGCTTCTTCATAGGCAGAGGAAAGGGGACTTCATTAATGAGGATGCTTACAGTCCCAGGAAACTGCTCCAGCAAGCAACAGGAGCTTGGTCATGGGGCTTCACCACCAACCACTCCTCTGCCTTCTCCAGTGACCCCCCGTGGACTATAGGGGAGCTTCCGGTGGCTCTAAACTTACAGACAGGAGCTGGTACTTGAAATGGACTGAGAAAGAAGCTGGGGTGCTCATCTTATCTCATGTGCTCTCTGTGGGCTTCTTTCCCATTGATGACACCAAGAGTCAGCCCTTTGCTACCATCATAGAAGCAAACAGAATGTTCCTGAAAACCATTCAAGATGTAGCCACGCTGCTGGGGCTGCTGAGACAGTAACTGCCAAATCCTCTTCCATTAAGGCCTTGCCCACACACGGGACAGATGCAAGAACAGGGAAAAGTCTGGTCTAACTTTGGCTAAATCCTCTACATCCTACAAAGATTGCTCCACCCCATATACCTGTGACCCCCCCCCCCCCCAGAAGACAACAAGGACCCTGATTGGCCCGCCTCCACACGTGTCGTAAGAGGAGATGCAGAGGTGATCAGGCCTAGCAGCTGAGATCACTGGAAGAGCCAGGTGTGACGTTGCATGCCTGTCATCCCAGGGGCAATCAGGAGCAGAAGCAGGGGGATTGCTGCAAGTTAGAGCCTGGCTAGATCTACATGTTTTGAGTTCCAAGCCAGCCAGAACAACATAGTAAAACCTTATTTTAAATTGAAAAAAAAAATCAATCTTGAGCTCTCTGGGAGAGACAATGTATAGAGGCAATGTATAGGAGCCATTCAGAGATCAGGCAGCTCCTGCTGCCTCTGTGGCTTCCTGCCATCTGCTCCCCAACCACTCTCTAGGGAAGCACTCTCTCCTTTTCTTCCAGGACTTTAGAGCATGCCCTGGGTATCCATGAAGTACCAAAGAAAGAGGAGAGAAGAGACGAAGGGCTGTGTATGGTTCTAGAAAACCTACCCGCCATGTCTTCCCGGGCCTGTATTTATTTGCAGAGCACACCTAGATAGCTTAACTCATTCCAGAAACAGGCTGGGCTATCACCACTGAACACAGCACAGGGCTAAAACCAAACCTCAGGCCTCATCCATTTCTGGGGACCCACAACCTATCTCAGGGTTGAATTATATACCCCAGAAAGCCGGACAAGCCCTGAATCACCCTTGATCCAGTTTGGGCTGCCTGTGGGGATGAAGATGGGACAGTATTCCTGCTGTCTGGTCCTAGCTCCTGGACGTGCTGTGGCTCGCATGAGTCCGTCGTGAAAACCGCAAGGATCTCAGTCCTGTTGAGTGACTGCCCTCTCTGAAGGATACGCAGTGCTGCTGGGCAGGGAGGCACAAGCCTGAGATTCATACTTGGAAAGCAGAGGCAGGAGAATCAAGAATTCCAAACTAGCCCTGGCTACCTGTGACCCTATCTAAAAAACAAATAAACAAAAAGAAACAAAAAACAAGCGAACAAAAAGTGCAGCTTTGGTGCATGTCCTGGAACTAGCTCTTATAGACCAGGTTGGCCTCGAACTCACAGAGATGCGCCTGCCTCCTGAGTGCTGGAATTAAAGGTGTGCGCCACCTCCGCCCAACCGAGGTCGAATTTCTTAATGTTCCTCCTCAGCTTAACTAGGCATTCCACTTCAGCCTTGGGGTGATGGGCGCTTGCTCTTCCACTTTCTGAAGCTCCCTGAAAGATCTGTGCTGCCCAAGCAGGCTCTAAAGTACCCGATGCTGCCGTGAGCTCAGAGCCAGTCCGGAAGGGAACAATTGCACAGCCCTATGGGCACCCTCCCCTCACTGCCACCCCAACCCTGTTCTAGGGGACACAGGCTCTAGAAAAAAAAAAATAAAGACTTCTTGGTTGTCCAGCTAATTCTTTTTTTCCATCTTCTTAGGCGTCTAGGGCTCTCTCTAGCAATACAGTAGGGCTCCCTGGAGCAGGAACAGGCTGCAGCACCCTTACCCTTGTGATCCACTCTTTCCCAGTATTTCTAAGGACATGTGACAAAATAAAACTGCAGTCCATGCAGGCAGCGAGACACAGCGGTACCAGCTTACCCATCTGCGGTGCTGTAATAACCACACAGCGAGTCACCAACGAGCCACAGAAATGTGCTGCTCAGGACGTGAACAATGGGAAAGCCACCAACCAAGGTACCAAGAGATTGAGAGTCTGAACTCACTTTTTGACTTATAGATACAGCCTTCTCTTTGCAACCTCACGATGGGAGAAGTATGGATCTGGCTGGCCTCTTGCCCTCTCCTGATAAAAGGGCACTGATCTTATTTGGGAGGGCTTCCCCCTCATAACCTAGTCATCTCACGAGGCTGTCACTTTGAGGACTGGGATTTCAGTGTATGGATCTGGAGCAAGGACACAGAAATGTTGAGCAATGAAACTATTACTTTGTATGATAGCTTAAACTTTAAGTTAAAAAAATTCCAGACTACAGCATGTCCCTTCAGAGCAGGGGAAGAACTACAAACGGCAGATGCTCCTTAATATGGAGGATCAATAGGCAGACCCGAGAAGTTGAGAGTCGTCTAACTCCTGGGTGGGTTTGATTCCTAACAGTCGTTGTGAACAATTCACCTTTGGCTAAGACAACAGACCCCATCTGAGTACGCTTGAAAATCGAACCCAAAGCAGTGACTTGTGGTACTCCACTGTCCAGGACCAGGAAGGTACAGCCAGGTGACTGAACAGGCCCTGGGATTAGCTCATGCGAGGGAGGGTGGGGACATCTTGAGAGGCCCTCCACCGCCCACTATCAGAAAACTTCACTTTCTGCCAAAACAGCACACATTTTTCTTTTGCCACCGATGTTCCTCACTGGGAATCCCCTGCCCTGATTTTGCCTGTTTCCATAAGGTAAAAATACTGGTTAAGATCAGCGTCAAGTTCAAACATCTATCTCGCTTTCTAAACAAGTGGCCTGGTAAACTGTGATTAACAAAACAAGATGGAGTAGTAAAGACTCTAAATCAGCCTGTAACTCTCCATGGCAATTCGGGGGATGGGATTCGGTATCCAGGGATGTTCAGAAGTACCCAGGGATGCTCACAAGCGAACATTCAGGGAGAAAAACCGTACATCCTCTCCCTTTCTTGGGGGATCTTCGTGCTACCGTTCTTCAGCCTAGAAATGCTCTAGCTACCGGCCTCAGGCCGACCAATCCTTCAAGATAGAAAGCGGTGCAGTCAGGGTGGAGCAAACGAGGGCAGCAGAGAAAATAAAATTACAGCGTTCTCCCCAAGCGCCCCGTCGCGCACCTCCCGGCCGCCCCGCCCGCGGCCGCTGGCCCAGGCCGCGCGCTAGACTGGAGCGCGCTCGCTCGGGTGCGAGCAGGACGCGGCCCGGCCCGCGGGAGGGCGGCGGCGGCGGGGAAGGAGGAGGCGCTGAGGCCACACCCATCGGCGAGCGGATCCGCGGGCTGCGCGTCGTCGGCCGCCGCGCTCCAGCCTCCGCCCGCACCGAGCCGCGGGACCCGGCCGCACCGGGGAGGGGCCGCTCCGGGCCGCAACGCGAGGGCAGCGAGGGCGGCGGGGACCCGGCACCGGGCGCGGCCGGCGGCAGCGACCATGATCGCTTTGTTTAACAAGCTGCTGGACTGGTTCAAGGCCCTGTTCTGGAAGGAGGAAATGGAGCTCACGCTGGTGGGGCTGCAGTACTCGGGCAAGACCACCTTCGTCAACGTGATCGCGGTACGAGGGCAGATGTGGCAGCCCGCGCCGCGCCCTAAGCAGCCCAAGTCGCCGCCTGGCGTGGCCGGGCACCGCCGGGCGCCGGGCAGGGAGGAGCCGGCTCCGGGCGATTGGGGCCTAGCACGGTTCTTGGGGGACCAGCTGGCATGCTACCCGTTCTCAGGCCTGGGCTGGGATGGCAGGGCTGGGGGCGGGGTAGCGAGAACGAGGGGACCGAGCTGGAGTTCCGTTGTTGGTGGCACCGAGAGGTCTCCAAGCATCGGGAGTCCGCCGCAGGCTGACAGGCCCCCGTGGCTCGCGCACAGGGGGCATGACAGGGCGAAAGTGCCCGGGCCTTCCCGCTCCTCGCGTGGAGGGTCACGGGACGCGCGGCCCGAGCGTGTTACCAGGGGTCCCTGCCAGCCCAGCCCCACCCCGAAGGCTCTGTCTCCCCCTGGCTTGACGCGGAAGCCCCAGCCCATCTGGGCGGGGGAAGCTTGAATCCCTAGAGGCAGAGGAGTCAGCTGAGGTCCCGACTCTAGCCCAGACTCCTCCCCGGAACCTGTCCCGGGCCTGCGGTAACGCGGGGGTCCAGGATGGATGGCACCATAAAGGGAGTTGGGAGACTCCACTTGGCTCAGAAGTTGCAGGAGTAGATACTGTGGACCCGAGAGCAGTAGCTGGAGGGGCGCCATCCACCTGGGGACCAGGGCAGAGCAGCTCCGAGGGCTTTGGGGAGTCAGGACTGGGGGTGGGGTGACTGCAGTTGTATGTCTGTGCCAGAGGAATGGTGGAGAAGGAGTTAAATTTTCTCTTTAAAAAAGAGGAAGATGAGCTCCCTGGGTGTGTGAGCTGAGCTGCAGTAATGGCTGCAGCCTGTATTTCAAAGATAGGCAGGACTGGGCTTTTGGGACCCGGGAAAGCTTGGGACAGGGGCATAGTTTTTCCCAGAACCTAACGCCGTTCCCAAAAATGGGTTTTTCAAGAGAGCTGTGAATTAGCCATATACAGGTAAAAAATGCTGTTGTGTAGGTCTGCAAAGGTGTGTGGCCAGTCAGCTTCGGTACCGCCACTTGCCTGTATTGTATTGTTGCCCAACCTTGAAACCCCACAGGGCTCGGCGTCCTTACTGGAGAGCCTTTCAGAGGGGATATTAGTACATTGGGCAGATGGAAGGCTGAATGGATTTGGGACTTAATGGATTGGGCACGGGCACGCGCACTCTCTCCCCTAAACATGCTCTGCCATTGACATCTACACACCCCTCTGCCCAGTGTCCCTTTTTATTCCACAGAACCTCTGCTGAGGTTTGGGACATGTTTTTCTGAGCTAACACATGTCCCTGGCTTTCTGTCTGCCATGCTGTGTCCCCTAGGATCAGAAACCCTGGTTAGACTTGGTGTTGACTTGCCTCTTGGGCTAACGGTACAGGAAATCAACACCTGGATTTCCACCTGTCTCTGCAGATCTAGGTGGCTTGGTTTGGGACATTTAGGTCTGGGAGATGTTTCTGGTATTTCTCAAAAGGAGAAACTAGGTGCTTGCGCTCAGCCTAGATATCCCCTCCTGTCCCGAGGGAGTGTTACTAAAGCCATGCTTCTGTATAGGGATACACAGACACCTAGGTGAGTTCAACTTCCTGGCCTGGTTCTGCCCTTCAAGACTAGCATCTTCTCAGAGTATGGAAGGTCAGGGATAGAAGCCAAATTCTCCAATTCTCCTGCCAGAGTCAAGAGGTTCTTTGAAACTAAGCACCATGAAGCATGTATGTAACCCCATCACTCCGGATATTGAGACAAGATCCCAAGTTGAGAGCAGGCCATAGAGAGAGAATTAGTCTCAAAAAAAAAAAAAAGTTTCTATGATAGTCAACCTTCCTTGGGTCCCCAGCCTCTGTATTCTCCCTTTTGATATAAAATTTACCACTGAAAGATAAGCCAAATTTTCTTTCTCTGAAGAGACTAACTACCCCTTCGGGGGCTGCAGGGAATTCCAGCATCCGGGTAACTCCAGCCTTCTCAAGCCCACCAGAGCCCCCATAGGCACTGTGCCGCTCCCTGTACAATCACAGGAAGGTTCGAGACCCCTGGGCTCTGTGCTCATGCCCACCGCTGACTTTCTGAATTGCCTTTGCTGTCCCTTGGCCTCTGTTTGTCTCAGCAAACAGAGAAAGCTCCTTGTGTTTTTCTCCCGCCTCTGGGGTCTGAGTGTGAATAGGAATTGTGTTCACTGAGCCCAGATGCTCAGCAGGTTAACGTCAACTAGAGAGAAAGTATATGCAGAGCCATTGCGTACGTCCAGGAAACTGAAACTACTGAGTACAAGAAAGCTGTGATACTAGAAAAAATGGGAGATATGTTTTTGTCCAAGAGCAGCAGAAAGGTCCTTCTTTTCTCTTTGAGGCATAGTCTGGTCTTGAGCTCTCATGCTCCGTGGGTGTGTGTTGCTGTGCCCATGAAGGAGGTAATTTCAGATGTCTTAAAATATGGAAGGCTGTCACCATAGAAGAACTGGTCTTGGAGTACCCAAAAGGACTAAAGAACAAAGGGGAGCAGTCACAGGAAGATGTGTTTTTGAGTCATAAAGAACTCTCGGATAGTTTGAACTAACCCAGGATGAAGTGAAAGCCTCACACAGCAGAGCACACCTGTAGTCCTAACCCAGGCAGGAGGAAAATGGAGGAGCTCAGAACATAGCTTAGTTAGTAGAGGGCTTGCCTAACGTGTATGATGCCCCAGCACCACATGAAACTAGACACAGGGGCACGTGCCTGTCATCCTAGCACCAAGGAGGTGGAGTCAGGAGGACAAAAAGTTCACGGTCATCTTTGGCTATGTGCCAGCTTGGGATACGTGAGACCCTAGCTCACAAATGAAAACAGAAAGAATGACTTAGAGAGGATTCAAGTAGGAGACAAAAGATGGGGTTACATGACGTGAAGTTGCCCCCATCCTTACAGAATCTGAGTCATTAGCAGGGAAATTAAATCATAGTCTGATTGCAGCCTAGCTCCAAATTCACAACTGAGCAGAAACGGAGTGGTGGAGGGCGTGGCCGTCTGATAGCCCCCCACTATCCCTCTTTCTGCTAGTGGTCCATACGCCCTCATCTGTTTGGGAACATGTGGATCTTCTGGTTCCCAGAGATCAACGACAGGTCCCTGCTCAGAGCCACTCCCAAGCACTTGTGAGCCATATCCATCAGGAGCCCTACAGTCGCAGCTCTCCTGGTCCTGACGGAGGATTACTTGAGCCCAGGAGTTGTCGCCCATCCAAGTGCTAGCCAGGTCCAGCCCTGCTTAGCTTCTGAGATCAGAGGCATCAGGCCCTTTCAGGTACTACAGCTTAATTATCTCTAAGCAAGCCTGGCAACATAGCCTAAATTCAATACCAGGATCCCACAAAGGTTGCAGGAGAGAACCAGCTCCCAGAAGTTAGCCTCTGACCTCCACAGGCATGCTGCGACACACAAACTACACACAGATAGATAGATGATAGATAGATAGATAGATGATAGATAGATAGATAGATAGATAGATAGGAATTAAATTATAAGGTGTGTGCAGGCTTTGTTTTTGATTTTGGTTTTGGTTTTGGTTTTGGTTTTTGAGCTAGGATCTCATATAGCCCAGGCTGACCTCAAACTTTCTATTTAGCTGAGACTGACCTTGAACTCTTGATTCTTCCCTCCTCCCCCTTCCCGCCTCCTGACTGCTGGGATTTCAGGAGTGTACTGATACACTCTGTAGTGTACACTACAGTGCCATTTCCATAAAGGACTTGAGTATCTTCACATGCAGGTAATTGAGGCAGGCCCTGGACCAACCCTGAGGATACCAAAGGATGAGTATACATCCAGGGGGCTCTCAGAAGACCTCCAAAACCCCGCTGTGGTTCTCAAATGCGGAACCCCTGCTATACATTGTCACTGGGCATGATTCCTGCAGATGCAAGGGAGTGGCACACTCATCCTGTCTGCCTGGGGGACTTCACTGAGGCTCCCAGGCACCGAGTGAGAGCTGGTTATCTGCTGCTCCTTGGCTAGTGGTCAGAGCCCCTGGCCTCTGTGCGGGAGCCAAGCAAATTAGTGTACTATCGGGTAGGAGACAAAAAGGCACTAACTGTCACTCTCGGCTTAAAGATAAAGTCAGCCCCCTCCCCTATGGCCTTCACCCTCTCACCTGTTCTTAGCTTGAAAGTGAAGATGGCCTGGCAGGAGTTGGGTCTGGCCTTATTTAAAGCCTGTGGCTACTTTAGGATAGTTCAGAGATTTTAGAAACATTGTATAGGGGGAAAGGGAAAATTACTAGAAATGGAAAGGAATTGTGGGAAGTGGAATCACTGTCCGCTCCCAGATAGTCAGAGAGCACTAATGTTGTTACTATAGACCAGGCTTCTCCCCTGAAGAAGTTTCAACCCAGTAGGGAAACACGTATGTACGTGAATAACAGAGATTACGGCTTACCCGTGGTGGAGTACAAGTCAACACTTTGAATAGTCCTGCAATTATTTAGTGTGCACTGCATTTTGAGGGTAGTGAATTCAGTTCCAACCCATCCATCCAGACAGGGTCTCTTTCTACAGCCCAAGCTGTCCTGGGTCTCTCTATGTAGACCAGGCTGCCCTCAAACTCTCAGAGGTCCATCTGCCTCTGCCTCCCCAGTTCTGGGATTAAAGGCGTGCGCCATCATGCCCACCTCCTAATTTTTAAAAAAACAGTTCACTACTAATTTGACAATGTGTCTGCTTTCTTTCCTTGCTGTCACTTTTGTTGGGCCTCATTCTCTGGGAAGTAATGATTGTCCTTCTAGCTCAGCTGGGGCTGAGTAAAAGGGCTTCTGGTAACAAGAACTGTAGGCTAGACCTTGGGAAGCCCTTTCTCCCTGTTTGGACTGAGAGACTCTGAGATTGCCTAGGGACTTTGGGCCTCCTCCCCATAGAGCTGCAGGTGTGGATGGTACCTCTGCTGATAACCACCCATCTTGCCTGAAAGCGGGAGACAGTCAAAAGATACCTCCTGTGAAAACTCTGAGAAAGTCTGGCCTGACGGATGCATCACCTTGCAGACTGTTGTTCTATACCCACCAGGGAGGGCATATTTGGGTCCTGTCCATGTTGGCATCTTTTCCAATCTGGCTTTTCTTTCTAGTCAGGACAGTTCAATGAGGACATGATTCCCACTGTGGGTTTCAACATGCGCAAAATCACCAAAGGGAACGTGACCATCAAGGTGAGGGCAGAGCGCTGCTGAGGACCACGTGTGTTTGGGAAGGCAACCGAGCCCCCTGGGAAGAGCCAGCTGGGGAGGGCAGAGCGGCATCCTATTGCTGGGGAGCTGGGAGAAGAGAACCGAAGAACTGGAAGCTGGAGGGCTGGGAGAGAGGGAAACCAGGAGGGAGAAAAAGAGACGTGCTCCACAGGGTAGCCCACAGGGTAGCGGGGACAGCAGAAGGAAAGCTTGGGAGATTAAATTGCTTTCTGTTGTCTGCCTGCTCCTGAGGCTACCCTCTCCCCACCCTCTTCTCACTCAGCTCTGGGACATTGGGGGGCAGCCTCGATTCCGCAGCATGTGGGAGCGTTACTGCAGAGGAGTGAGTGCCATTGTGTAAGTAGGATCTCCCACCCTCCCGCCTGCAAGGACTTCAGACCTAATGTAGAATCACGTAGACATGGTCTCTCCGTCATAGCTGGTGCCTGGACATAGCCTGATTTTATTTTGCATGCTGTTTATTTTAGTAAATATGTACTCTGGGCAATAGCACCCAATTAGAGAACTGGCCAGCCAGGCCTGCAGTATCACTTAGGGTATTGTCCCCCAACTCAAATCATGAATTTGGGGTGAGTTAAATGATTCCTTCCCTTGCCTCTTAATTCTATCTAGACAGCAGATGTAACTTGGTCGGAAAGCTGTTGCCTAGCGTGTACGAGGCTCTGAATTCAACTTTAGTGCCACATGCAGAAACCAAAAAAGAAAGAAAAGAAAGACGGGGGGGGGGGATGTATAATGTATGCACAGCTTAGTTTTTCTTAACAGAAAACATTTTTTTTCTTTTGTGACAGGGTCTCCCTGTGTACGCCTGGCTGGCCTGAATCTCACTGTATCTCACTTATGTAGACAAGGCTGACTTCTAACTCGCAGACTCCAACTCTCAAGTCCTGGGATTCGGTGCATGCACATCATGCCCAGCTTAAACCTGATGTTTATATTTTTAAGAAACAAGCATCATAGCTGGATGGTGGCACATACCTTTAATCCCAGCACTCAGGAGACAGAGGCAGGTGGATCTCTGTGAGTTCGAAGCCAGCCTGGTCTACAGAGCAAGTTCCAGGACAGCCAGGATTACACAGAGAAACGCTGTCTCAAAAAAAAAGAAAAGAAAGAAACAGACCTGTACCCTGCTAGGAGAGAACCCTTTTCTTTATCTCTAGCCCTATCTAGGCCAGATTTACAGCTAACCCTACAGGCCCCAGCTTCCCAGAGGGCAGAAGCCTGCAGCACATTGCCCTGTGGGTTGGGGAAGGTGTTCCCTGAGTCAGACCAGGGTGGTCCACTTCTCCAGAGGTGACCAGGTGTTGGAGGAGGAGGAGGAACCAGAGGCGTTCTTCCCCTCGGCTGCTCCTCTTCCTGCCCGCCTCAGCCCACTGTGTCCCCATGCTGTCCCTGCCTGCCTTCCCCAGGTATATGGTGGATGCTGCAGATCAGGAGAAGATCGAGGCCTCCAAGAACGAGCTCCACAACCTGCTAGACAAGCCCCAGCTGCAAGGCATCCCGGTCAGCTATGGTGGAGTGGGTGGGAGAGGGAGCGGGCCGGAAGTCACTGGGGGAGATAGCCCCATGCAGTCATGCTCCATGCCCTTGTCCTAACCCTCCTTGGCTTCTCTTCTGAATAGGTCTTAGTCCTCGGTAACAAGCGAGACCTAGCGGGAGCGCTAGATGAGAAGGAGCTGATTGAGAAAATGTAAGCTGGGGTGGCCTTTCTTTGTGTGCTTCAGCTCCCCAAATACCCTAGCTGACGAACATGTCTGGGCTGGGCTGGTTGCTATTCTCAGTGTTCACCACATGGTGGCAGCAAAACACATCTTTCCAGGAGCCTCGCCCTCCTCTTTGACCAAGAAAAAGACCCTGCTTTCGCCTAGCCCATACCCCTTGGCTGCCCCAGCCTCTGCAGATTCTGCTCTGATCTCCCCCCGCAGGAATCTGTCTGCTATCCAGGACCGAGAGATCTGCTGCTACTCCATCTCCTGCAAGGAGAAAGACAACATAGGTGCGTGGCTTTGGGAAGTTGTTGGCAATCTACCAGGAGTGGCCTTGCAGAAGGGAGAAGAGAGGAGAGGGCTACTTCCGGTGTGGTAGCATAGGACTCTGGAAAGTTCCTGCCCTGCCACTTGTCTGTAGTCCTGGGGTGCAGCGGGCAGCTGGGAGGCCCAGTTCTGAACTTTACCTCAGTTCTACGTTCCAAGAGGAACCACCCACTCACTCTTGTACTTCTGAGATTATCATAGGTTGAGCCAGGTATTCCCGGCCCTTCTGCTGTGCTTGCTGGGCTTTGTGTCTTTCCCATCACAGTTGGGAGCTGTTACAGGGGTCACAGCTCTTGGCTTGATCCTGGCTGCAGTCTCAGGAACCGGGATTAACTGTTTATGCCTCTCAGGCCTTATGGGCTGCTGCAGGCAGCAGGCCTGATGACCTTCTCTCTTGTCTCACTCAGACATCACCCTACAGTGGCTTATTCAACACTCAAAGTCACGGAGAAGCTGAGACTGTGGCTCTTCTCCTTCGGACCAGGGACCACAGGCACCTAACCTGAAGCCGAGCTCCCCGCCCACCGATGTCTCCCCCAAACCCACTACTCCTCACCCAGTGTGGGGAGGGCCCTCTGGGGCTCCTAGAGTCCCGTTCTGCTGAGGTTTGAACTCCTGTTTTTATTGTAAAATAAATCCCCCCCCCAATCTGGTCCCCTAACCTCTCTCTTTCTCTCTTTGTCCCTCACCTCACCCCACTTCCCTCCCCTCCCAAAAGCCCTGGCCCCGCAACCCCTGTCCTCACTTTCTGTCCCACCCTCTACCTCCCTTTTCAACACCTCTGTTATTGTCCTGTGTGTACAGTATATATATGTATATATATTTTAATTTTTTAATTTAAGCAAAGACTTAAGATCAACCATTTGATGCTGCAGGGGCCAATCAGGACCTGGGAGGGGCAAACTGGAAAGATGGGAAGAGATGCAGGGTCAACTTGGGGCAAGTTCAGATGCAAAAAGGTGGTCACTGGCTGGTACTTGGGGCATGTACCAGCCTCACCACTGGTGATTATCCCCATGTCCTGTAAAGTATTTCTGTCTCCCAGTAAAGGGCCTGAATACTCAGGCCGGCAGGAGCCTCCTTTCTGTCCCCAGCCTTGGTAGGGCCACCAGGCACAACCAGGTAGCAGAGACCACCAGGCCTAAGAGGGAGGAAGCCAGTGTCCATGCCATCCAAGCGACCCCCATGCTCACTGTTGCCAGCCCCAGCTCCTGCCTCTACCCAGGGCCTCCACCTCCATGGCCCATTTCATTTTCTGTTCTCATCTCACCGAGTTGTACAAGGAGAGAACTCAGCATGGGGGGTTGGTTCTTTGGGTTTTGTTTGTTTGTTTATTTGTTTAATTTAATGATTTGTAAAGTGATGTTCCTCTTCCTTTTTACACTTTCCAGCTCATATTTAACCTCTGTTTGGAAAATGATTCTTGTAACTGTACATTTTTTTTTTTTGCCTCCTAATAATGACAATAATAAATTACCAATTTTGTGTTGGGGGCGTGTGTGGTGCTGGGTGTTTGCCACTGACCAGCAGACTCAGGGACAGCAGTGCCCCTCTCACAGGGAAGGCCACGGGGTGCCACACCCCCAGGGAACACGTGCTCACACTGGCAGCACAATGGCCTGTCTCAAGACAGCCTCCCACACGTGTCTGGGCTCTGGTGTCGCCTGCTCCTCATTCTCTTTGGCCTTGTTGTAGGCTGGCAGCTGCCAAGTGGTACTTAGCAGGTAGTCAGAGGAACTATCAGACCTGGCCCATGCTTCACTGTTCAAACAGAACTGCTATTTCTCAACAGTACTTCAATCTGTGGCCCCTCTCCATTCCGTGCCTGCTTGGTCCCCATAGCCAGAGTTGAGCCAGAGCCAGAATTCTGCCTCTACCTCTTCATTCCCAGTTCCCACTAGGAAGAAATCAAATGTCCTCCAGGAGTATACTGGGTCTGTGGAGTCTCCTTTGCTATCTTAGTGTTCAGGTCTCTTGGAAAGGACCAACCGTTACTCTATAGATGGAACTCCTACCCTGCCTGACAGGAGCCAACAGCCACAGTGCCTGTGGGCCCTCCTTGGTTCAGTGTGGATCCAATCTTATTTCGTTTTACACTCAACTCTCAGACATCCCCCCGCCCCGTCACTCCCTCGTGTTCTGTCTCCCGTCAGCCTGGAAAATAGAGACCGTAGATGCCCAATCTCTTTTCACCCTACCTCAGCAGCCACCTTTGTCCTTGGTTTGTGAGAGGCCTTGGGCTAGGCCACTCTCCAACCACGAGGAGGATTTCCTATTGCTGAGGGACTTTGAGGAACGGGTCTGAGAATTGAGCTCAATGGCAGAGTGCTGATCTAGTGTGCAATAGACCAGGCCCTGGCTTCCATTGACCGTGTGGGGAGAAGGTTTGAGAATGGAGTTTGCCACCAGCTAACTGATTCCCAGGAGTCTTCCTCCTCCTTAAGAGTATGAGGTGTGCCCCTTGGTTAAGGATGATGGTGGCCCAGGCTCTGTCCCCTGCCCTGCATCTAGGAGAGGACCACTGTCCTCATTCATGGGAATGTTTCAACGCTGACCTGTTTCTTGGGTTCTGTGTTCTCCAGATGAGATTTTTGTGAGAGAAGACAAGCTGATTATTAGGACATGCAAAACCATTGCCCTGCACTGGGAACTCCTGCAACAGATATGCAGCAGGGCCCAAACCATGCAACGGATATTCAGCAGGGCCCAAGCCACCTCTTCCTTGAATGGGGACAAACCATGTAAACCATCGTGTTTGGGTTCTCTGATGTCAAACGAATGAGTTCATACCTGACCAAGGGACTGGAGAGGGGGCTCAGAGTTAAAGAACACGTACTGCTCTTGTAGAGGACATTGGCTCCTAGCACCCACGTCAGGTGGTTCCAGAAAGAGCTAACACTTCTGACCTTTGTAGGCTCTGAACCCCTGCTCACATAACCCAACACAGATGGACACACACAGACAATTAAAAATTATAAAAAATATTCAAAAACACCTAAGTCCACTCTATATTGCTCAAGATCTGGATTCCCAAAAGCATGGAGCCTTGCACTCTGCCAGATGCTTAAGCCCCACCCCATCTCCCAACCCCCTTTTTAGTGGTGGAGGTGGAGCCCAGGACCTCGAACATCCTAGGCAAGCAGTCTGCCGCTGGTCTCCAGCTCCAGCACAGAGCATGTCTGGCCTCACTTAGCGATCACAGGCCTCTGAAGGACTGATTGTTCTGTTTCCCAGAGTGGGGAGTGGAGACAGGTACACTCAAGGGTTAGAGCCGAGCTAGGATGAGGATAGGCAGTGGGGGCCTAGCAGAGGACACCCCCCACTGGCCTCGGCTCTGATGACTGTCCTACTATGGATGTCAGCATCTCTCTCTGAGCCTCACCCTTGAGCCAGCCACCCCACCCCCTTAGCCTGGGACCCCAGAGCAACAAATCCCACATTGTTCCCTGGCTGGCACAGACTGGAGGGACAGTGGCTCTTTCCTAAGGCTAGCTAGTCTGCTGGCTAGTTTTGCAAGCCATTCACGTTAGCAGGCTTGGGAAGCAGCAGCAGGGTAGGGTCTAGGAGCCACCATCTCTCCCCTTGAGTTCTGGGCCAGCCAGCGGTCAGGAGGGAGGTCCAAAGTGTGCCCTTTGTGGAAGAGGCCACCAAACAGGATGCTGAACCACCACCACCCCTCCAAGCCTTCCACCACAGTCCTCTCCCTGCCCCTGATTTCACCTCAGATCACCCCGGCCCACTTCCTCCCCCCTTAGAAAGTTATTGGTGCGTGCAGGACGGGGTGGGGGGGAGGAGTTGGGAAAGCACCCCCTTTCTGGTTCTGCTCAGAGACAAGGGTCCACCTTTGCTCCCTGTCGAACTAACGCACACACACACACACACAAAGTTTCTAAAGAAAAAGCTGGAGACTGGTCACTGTAGCAACAGGTCTGCCGAGAAATGTGTGGGTGTCATTCTCCAGCTCAAAGGGTGTGTGTGCAGGGCAGTTCCATCACTTAGCAACAGCCTCCCTCTCTCTTGGCCAGCATCACTGGCCCTGGGGGGTGGGTGGGGGTGGGTGCCAGGGATCAAGAACAAGGCTGTTCAGATTCCAAGTAAGTGGGAGGGAGACTTGGATGCTGAGTGGACCAAGGCCCAAGGGAATGGGTGCCTGGGCAAAGAATAGAGTTGGGCCGCTCATGACCCTTGGGGACCTAAGCTGGTGGAGGTTCTAGGTTGGCCTGATGAGCAAGTCTTTGTGGAACCCAGAACTGAGCTCCAGATAAGGGTGGCTGCAGAGAAAGCTGGGCATGGGGGAAAGGAATGCCAGTGGCCTAGGCTGATAACCCAGCAGAGAGAAGGGGTCTGTGGAGGTGCCTCAGGGGCAGAGCTGGGGAAATGACTTAAAGGGCAGGCCCAGTAGGAGGCGCTACTAGCTGTGCTGGGAACTACTGTAGAACTCTGCTGGGAAGGGTGGGGGCGGGGGTGGTGGGGGCAGTGCGGGTAGGCAGCTGGGCCATCTCAGAGCCAAACAGTCCATTCTAAGAAACTGAACAAGAGCCACTGTTAGAGAGAGGGAGGCTGAGAAGCTCTGTGGCCCACGAAAGGAGAGCCCCTAGATTCCCTCAAATGGGGGCTTTGTGGAGAGGGCGAACTGAGCGATGCAGGGACTCCAGAGAGCGGGCTGACTTCCCAGGGGCAGCTGGGTTTAGCTCTAGATAAGGGTTTAGCCCCCAATTCCTGACCCCTTCCCTCCTCTCTGTCCCCAAGGCAGGACAACAAATACAGGCCCAGGCCAAGGAGACTGCCTGGTTAGGAAAAACCTGTCTACCTGTCTAGGTTCTGTCTCTCATGGACAAGGAAGCTCACTGGGCACAGGGCTGTGGTACCTACTTTATTGTTTTTCCAGAATGGCCTTCTACAGGAAAGCACCTAACAGGAGGCGGGGGCTGGATGATGTGAGATGTGACAGGCGCCTCACAGAATGGAAGACAGGAGTGAGAGGATCCTCTGGGAAGAGACTGGGGGCTAAGACAGACCCTCTTTAGAAAACGGGGTGCTGAGCCTGCTTAGGTTGGCCCTCAAGCGGCCCCTGGTCCGGGATGGGGCCTAGTGGGACTAGAGAAATGATGTTTGGGGAGGGGCCCAGCCAACCTAGAGTCGGATTCCAAGATCAAAGGGAGGGCAGGCCAAGGGCTAAACCCTGGATCGGAGATGGCCAGATTGAGATTCTAGGCAGCTCTAATGACCTAGAGAGATCTCCACCTACAAGTGGGAGGGACAAGGCTGACAGGTCCCTCCGAGCGTAAGATTGTCACTGTCTTCCCATGGTGCTTTGACAAGCCCAACTCTGACTCAGTGAACCAAGTCCGTCTCTACACGGCAGGATGAGAAGTCGAAGTGAGACCTGTAAGAAAGAACCAGCAGACCGTCTTGAGTGGGATGGCACCCCTCCCCACCTGCTCCCATCCCCCCCTAGACTCAGCAAGGTGTGCCCAGGGGCAGGAGTGGGGGTGACTCCCTGGGCTTATGGAAATAAATGGAGGAAGACACTTCGGTCTTAAGCTTGCTGTCCGCGCCGCCTGTCACTGAAGAGTCTGAGGCCCCGCCGCACTCCTCACAGCAGCAGCAACAGCAGCAATCCAGGAAGGCCTGGCCCAGGGGCCTGCAGATACACAGGAGGAGCACGGGGGTGATGGCGCCCTTGAAGAAGGCGGAGAACTGGTTGATGAGGCCCAGGAGGTCCAGGGTCTGCCGGGTGAGCTCGGTGGAGAGGTAGGCCACCACGATATTGCAGACGTTCTCAGGGAGTGTACAAAAGGCATAGACCACGGTCAGGCCCACCACAGTGCTGTTGAGCTGGCTCTCACACTGCTCGTGCTTGCCTGCCCTACACTCGGGCTTCCTGCCCGGCGGGCCCCGCACCCGCCATGTCACCAGCTGGCAGGTGACGGTGAAGAGGATGGGCAGACAGAAGTAGCAGCCAAAGTACCACCACATGCGCGCATTCTGGTAGGTCATCACCAGCGAGTAGATGGACTCGGGTAGGTTGGCTGACGGTTTCATGATGCACGAATCTATCGTCCCCATGGTGGGAGCAGGCTCTTGTGCCAACTGCCACAGCGGGAGTTCAGGAACGGCCAGCATCATGGAGCCCACCCAGATGACAGCCAGTTTAGCCAGGATTGATTGGCATCGCTCAATGGGCCTCACCTTCGGCAGGGTGCTGGTGGCCACGTGGAAGCGGTCTATGCCCAGAGCACAGAGGCTGAAGGTTGTGACTCCCAGGGAGGAGACCTGCGAACAAGGATGTAGAAGACAGAGGGCTCAGTTGATGGGGGCAGAGAGGTTTCAGGCTGAAGAGGAGCATGGGTTGCACATGAACAGCATGACAATAGCTGCTATTGGTGAGACATTTTCTACCCATCAGGCACTCCCTATATGACATAAACTCTCAGCTATGTCCCACTGGGGTCAATGCACACTTTTAATCTTAGCACTCCAATCAGCCATCATACAGGAGAAATGGATGCAGAAGCGTAAAAAGTGACTGGTCCTTAACCTCACAGCTGGTGAATGGTAAAATTGAGGTGGGTATACACCCTTGTTCTTTTTTCCACTTCCCAAGCTAGAGTGTGCTAGGCCTCCCTCCCATAGACCCTGATGCCCCCCAGGACACTGGAAGCCACCTCTGGGGAAGAACCAGGACAAAGATGGAAACTGGGCTTAGCTTGGGTGTGGTGCTGTATTGTCCCAGAACTTGACAGACAGAGGCAGGAGGATCAGGAGTTCAAGGCCAGACTTGGCCACACAAAAAGTTCAAGGCTAGTCTAAGAAGAGTAAGACCCTGTCTCCAAGCAGAAGGAAGGAAAGGAAGGAAGTGGGGAGGGAGGAAAAGAAGGAATGGACAAATTTGGATCTTTGCAGTTCCTTCTCCTTCCCGCACAGGCTCGTGTGAGATCTTCAGGTTATGCAGGGGAATGTGGCCTGCTTGCCATTGCTTTCAGTCTGCCTGTGTTGACCTGGGCAGACCAACATTGTAGGGAGCAGGCCCTGCAAGCAGCCTGTGCCCACCATCCTTGCGCACTCAGAAAAAGCACCCTTTGAGCCAAGAGGAAGAGGCCAGAGCCACAGGGAAGGAAGTGCCAACTCGCCTGAAAGGAGAGCCCTCCTGAGCTGCTAGCTGATGGAACTCACTGGGGGTTGTGCTCCCCCTCCTCCTCCTGCTTAAATTCTTCCCTTCTCTGGCTGGGGCGACACAATCCAGGGCTTATTTGCACTGCCACCAAGTGTCCTTTGTAAGAATCCCAACCCCCTCTCTTGGCAGGGGACTCCAGGCCTGCAGAGGAGCAGCCTCCAGTCTCTGGCAAAATATCATATTCTCTCTCTCTCTCTCTCTCTCTCTCTCTCTCTCTCACACACACTCTCTCTCTCTCTCTCTTCCTCCTTCCCTCCCTCCCTCTCTCCCTCTCTCCCTCTCTCCCCCTCTCTCTCTCTCTTCTCCCACATCTCAGAAACTTTTCCAAATCTTACTAAGGGGCCGTGCTGGGGTCTTCCCTACAGGAGAATTCCGGGCAGCAGCAGAGGCTTATAGCCACGGGAATGAGCTCCAGTGTGTCTGACTCCTTCCCTCTTCTCCTAAAGCTAAGCTCAAATAAAAGCCAACATGGTCTACATTAATTCTAAGCACTTCGTGGACATTACCCATTTTAATCCTTTAAGAATGGGGACTAGCCAGCTGTAGTGACACACGCCTGTATCCTAGCACTCAGGGAGACCAGGAGGTCAAGAACATCCTCCACTACTTAGTGAATTTGGGGCCAGCTGGAGCTATGGAAGACCCTGTCTTAAAAAATGAAAACAGGAAGAAAGGAAGATTTGGAGCTAAACTTTGGGTGACTAGGTGTGATGGCTCATGTCTGTCAATCCAGCACTCAAAGGTGAGACTACACAATCAGGAGTTCAAGGTCATCTTTGGCAACGTAGCAAATTTGAGGTCAGCCTGGGCTACATAAGAGCCTTTCTAAAATAATAAAATAGAAGCCGGGCGGTGGGTGGCACATGCCTTTAATCCCAGCACTCAAGAGACAGAGACAGGCAGATCTCTGTGAGTTCGAGTTCAGCCTAGTCTATAGAATGAGTTTCAGGACAGGCTCCAAAGCTACAGAGAAACTCTATCTCAAAAAAAAAAAAAAATGATAACACTAAAACACTAACACTAATTGAGGCTGGCTGCTGAGCATGGCTATTCAGGTCTACAAAACCTCAACCAATTGGGTGGCTAAGGCAAAAGAATCATAAACTCAAGGTCTACCGAGACTACAGAGAGAGTTCAAGTCGAGCTCGAGCAGCTTAGTCAGAACCTGTCTCAAGAGTGATAAAATTGGCAATATAGCTCAGTAGTAGTGTTAGCATGTACAAGGCCTTGAGTTCAATCCCCACGGCTTAAAGGAGGGCAGGGTGGCAGCCGGGGGTTTAACTCGGCGATCTTTACGTGGAAAGCCTTGGGTTCAACCCCAAGTACTGCCCAAAAGAAAAATAGTCAGCTAGATATTGTGGCACACACCTACATCCCCAGCCCTTTGGAGGAGGAGGTAGGAAGATGGCCATTAGCTTGAATCTGGGCTACAGATGTAGGTAAGGACCCGGTCAGCCAGGGTTACAATGGGAAACCCAGTCTCAAAACAACAGCGAAAAGAGTAAAAAGCTTTGGGGCTCCACGTGCGCATGATTAGTATATGTGAAGCCCTAGGTTTATCCACAGCTCCTTCAGACAGTTATCACCCCAGATGAGAACACCGAGGTGTAGGCAGGTTAACTAACTTACCCAGGCTGCTTGGCCAGTCATGAAAAGAGCCCAGTTTCTAATATACTCTGTCTGATTCCAAAGCGATGTGTTGGCCCAGCACAGTGGGGCCCTTATTTTCAAACTCAGGAGGCAGAGGCAGGCAGTTCTAGACCAGCCTGGTTTACATGGTGAGTTCCAGGCCAGCCAGGGCTACATAGTGAGACCCTATCTAAAACAAAACCAACCAACAAAAACCCCATCCAAAGTTTGTGTGCCTAACCACTTAGCTCGCCTAGGCAGAGTGTACCAGATGACAGATAAGGTTTAAAGACCAATGTCAGGCGTGGAGGCACACACCTTTAGTCCTAGCACTCAGGAGGCAGAGACAGGTGGATCTCTGTGAGTTTGAGACCAGCCTGGTCTACATACCAAGTTCCAGCCAGGCTAGGAAGCGCCACATAATGAGATGGTCTACCAAACAACAAGAAGACACAAAGATCACATTGAATCTTGGGGTCTCTTTTGATCTGGGAAGCCTTTGGACCACCAGATAGATGGTGTGCATGGGTTGGGAGTGCAGGAAAAAAATATTTCAACTGCTATGCCTCACAGAGTGACCAGTATTGAAATAATCCCTAACATGTAGCTAACTGGGAGCTTGGACCTTTGTCAAATGCCTGGCTCTGATTCCAGCTCATGGGGAGGCTATTATTCTGTTCATTATTTCACTTGTAGCTAAGGTTATTTTATTTATTTTTAAATGTGTTTATTTTACTTATGTGAATGATTGTGTCTGCCTGCATGTATTTCTGTACCCATGGAATTCAGAAGGGGGCATCAGATCCCTTGCAACTGGAGTTATGGATGATTGTGAACCACTATGTGGGTACTAGGAACCAAACCCAGTGCTCTTAACTCCTGAACCACCTCTCCAGCCCCCTGTAGCCGTGATTTAAAACTGTTCCCACCGAATGTGTTGGTGTGTGCTTTAGTCCCAACACTAAGGAGGAAGAAGCAAAAGGTTTTCTGTGAGTTTGAGGCCAGACTGGTCTACATACTGAGTTCCCCAACAGCCAAGACTATATAGAAAACCCTGTCTCAGAGAGAGAGGGAGAGAGAGAGAGAGAGAGAGAGAGAGAGAGAAGGCTGTTCCTGCCAACCGTGACAGTACAGGCCTGTAATCTCACCAATCAGGAGACTGAATCAGGAATATTGTAAATTTAATTGTAAACCAACCTGGACTATATAATGAAATTCTATCTAACCAAAAAGGGGGGTTGTGGTAGTACAGGTCCATAATCTCAGCATTTTGGAGTAGAAATAAGGAGTTCAAGGTCATCCTTAACTATACAGTAAGTTTGAAGCTAGCCTGAGCTATAGGAAATCTTGTTTCAACCAAATGAAACCAAAACACACACACACACACGTATGTTCGTACGTACATACATACATACATACACACACACACACACACACACACATACATACATACATACATAAATAACACTAGGCCGAGGCAGACAATCACTGCAAATATGAGGTCAGCTTGGTCTATACAGTGAGTTCAACCTGAGGTACAGAGTAAGACCCTACCCTTAAAAAGATAAAAAGGACAAGAAAGAGAGAACATTTAAAAACTAGAAATAAAGAATAAAAGCCTGGCAGTGGTGGTGCACGCCTTTAATCCCAGCACTCGGGAGGCAGAGGCAGGCGGATCTCTGTGAGTTCGAGGCCAGCCTGGTCTACAAAGGGAGTTCCAGGAGGCTCAAAGCTACAGAGAAACCCTGTCTCGAAAAAAACAAAAAAAAAAAAACAAAAAAAAGGAAAGCTGCTATCATAGATACCTTCACACATATCATAGATATCATAGATACCTTCACACACGGGTAGATGTGTGCAAAGATCTGAAAGTTGTCTCCTTTCAGCCATTCTCACAGCCCTTCTCATCCAGGTGTTTAACATAACATGGAAGCCTCCATTCAGGGGTGCTCAGTGCCACACTTAAGAGTTGCAGAGCAAGCCAGTTAGAAGGGCCATCTGGTCTACCCTCCATGCTTGTTAGCTAAGGAAATGAGAAGAGATGGGATCTGTCCAGGGACAAGCAAAATATAGTAACAGAACTAGTGCTTCTATAAGCTCTAGTACCCAAAGGCAGGGCTTGCCTTTCAGAGCTGCCTTAGGAGGAGAGTGGTGGAGATGACCTTGAAGGTGACAATAAACTTGGTCAGGAAGGAAGAAGAACCTGTCCTGGTGTTTGCATCCACAGAAAGTAGACACTGACTCAACCTGGTAGGAAACTGGGGTCTCCCTCAAGTATTGCTAGGTTTTCAGGATACAGAAGGGTTAAAAAGAGGAGCCATGAGTACAGGGCAAGCAGGATGCACAATAAAAGAAAAGGGGAGGTCGGCAGACAGTGGCAGTGCACACCTTTAATTCCAGCACTCAGGAGGCAGAGCCAGGAGGATCTATGAGTTCGAGGCCAGCCTGGTTTACCAAGCAAGTTCCAGGACAGGTTCCAAAACTATACAAAGAAAAAATAAGAGAGAGAGAGAGAAGAAGGAGGAGGAGGAGGAGGAGGAAGAGGAAGAGGAAGAAGAAGAAGAAGAGAAAGAGAGAGAGAAAGAAAGAAAGAAAGAAAGAAAAGAAAAGAAAAGGGTGACTTCAGAAGAGAGAGGGATTTTTGGGGGTGGATCAGAGACAGACAGCTTGGAATATAGAAAAAAGGGTGTAGCCTCTGTGTGGTTACTCCTAAAGCAGAAGCCCAGGTTGGAATCAAGCCAGTGGTCTTGCACATCTGCCTATCTGCCTATTCACTGGCCTGACTTTCTTTCCTGAGAGCTACCAGAAGCCAATACTGAGTTTGTTCCCTTCCCTGGTAGAGTTTGCCTCCTCCCACAGTGACACAGAGAAAACTAGTTGAGTGGGAACCCCAGGGTGCTGGGATTACACACACCTGCAGATCTGCTCTCTGGGTCTCAGCAGGGACTGGAGCCCCTTTCCTGAACTGCAAGCCTACAACTGAGCTATAGAAAGACATACTTACCTCCATGAAGGGCACAGCCCGGCAAGAAACATCCCCCAGGAGCCTCTGCTTGGTGATCTCATTGAAGATGACAATGGGGAGGCAGAAGAAGAGGACCAGGAAATCCCAGAGAGCCAGGCTGGCGAGAATGGAGTTCCATGCACTCTTCAGATAATAGCTGTGCCACACAATACACATGACAGACAGATTGCCTACGATACCCACAGCAAACACCACCAGAGCCAGGAGCATGACAGCGTAGGCACTGTAGGAGCTCTCAGTCACCGGATACAAGGGGTTCTGAATCTGCAGCCTCTGACTTGGTGTCCCGGTCAAGTTGGCCCTCAGCTCTTGTCCACTATCTGGGGTGGCCCCATCCTTGTCTGGATTGGGGCTAGTGGCCACCAAAGTCTTGGTGGGCTGCAAGCCAGCAGGATGGATGGGCCTGGGGTACTCAGCCCACTCCTCAGGTACATACTGTTGTACCTCCTTGGGCCCCTCGTCGTTGGTGCCTCTTCGGGGTCGACTCTGCTGCTCCTGGACCTTTGCTCTATGCCCACCCAAAGATGAGTTGGCAGCCCCAGAGACCCCAGTCAGCCCCACAGCCAACGCTACAGCAAGAGAGACAGCCAGGGGCCACAGCCACCGCATGGCCGGGAAAGCAGGGTGTAGCTGCCTCAGAGAGGTGAGGGCAAGGGACCTAAGGGCTGTGTGGAATTAAAAGAGGCAGCTGGCAGCTGGGTCCGCCTCCAGTCAGGCGTCTGGCATGGCTGGCCCTTCCTCCCATCCCCTTGGCCATGGTCTGGCCAGGGCCCTCTGCTGGACACTTAGAGGTCTGTGCTGACCTCATACATCATGTCCTCAATCACACCCCTTCTCAGGCTCCAAGGACAGACTGAACAGCCCTCAAAGGGACCCGCTACAATCACTGGTACCAGGGAAATGAGGTTTGCTAAGTGATGTCGAGGCAGACTGTTACTGGAGTATAATTCTTCAATTCTAAGGCAGATCCCGAATGATAGGCCAGGCATGGTGGCTATTCCTGTAATCCCAGCATTTGGGAGGTTGAGAAAGAAAGACAGGAGTTCAAGGTTACCTTAAGCTACATAGCAAGATCCTGTTTTTGTTTTATTAAAAAGAAAAAGTGCCAAGATGAAAACAGAAGTGTAATTGCTGAAACTATAGGATACTTAGTCAGGTGTGCCACTCAGATGGGTACTTCTTTTATTCCTAATGATTTCTTATTTACATTCTATGTGAATTTGTATTTTTCCTGCATTTTTGTCTGTGTGAGGGTGTTGGATACCTGGTGCTGAAGTCACAGACAGTTGTGAGGCACCTGTGGGTGATGGGAATTGAACTTGGGTCCTCTGGAAGAACAGCCAGTTCTCTTAACTGCTGAGCCATCTCTCCAGCCTTATTTTGAACATTCTTAACTGAATGATAAATGTTTGAACTAATAACATACTAATTTACCATGCAATATCATACTGTGAAACATACATACATACAGATGGTTCTTCTTAGGGGTTAATTTTGTTTTGTTTTGTTTGTTTTTCAAGACAGGGTTTCTCCCTTTTTTATATATACATTTTTTATCGATATTTATTGACCTCTACATTTTTCTCTGCTCCCCTCCCTGCCTCTCCCCTCCCCCCTTCAATCCTCCCCTCAAGGTCCGAGACAGGGTTTCTCTAGAGCTTTTTAGAGCCTGTTCTGGAACTAGCTCTTGTAGACCAGGCTGGCCTCGAACTCACAGAGATCAGCAGGCCTCTGCCTCCCGAGTACTGGGATTAAAGGTGTGCGCCACCACCACCCAGCAGAGGGTTAATTTTTAAAATTGTTTTTATTGAGCTATATGTGAGAACACGTTGAGAAGTGCTGCTGTGATCCATTTCCTGGATTCCAAACATGAAGCTTGTGGTTGTTAACTGATGGCTATGTATTTGACCCAAAGCAGACAGGCTCACAGCTGGGTCTGACTCCATAGCCTTTCAACGCAATGCTGGTCTCAGCAGGCAAGAGCCCACTCCTTGCCTCCTAGCCACACAAACTTAAAACACCACACCTTGGCATGGGGCATGACTTAGTGGTAGTATTTGCCCAGCAGTTTTGAGGCTCTGGGTTCCATTCCAGTACTGGACCCACAATATAATAAACAAAATAAAATAAAAATTATGGAAGTGTCATTAAAAGTGCAAAAATTCAGGCCTGGCTCCATAGCTACTGAGGAAACCCTGTCTTGAAAAAGAAAAAAAGTGCAAAAGACCAAGAATTTTCAAATACGAAAAGGAAATAAGTATGAAAATGAATAACTACACCTCTGAGGCGATAGGTATGCGAAAGGCAGGGTCAAGGTCAGAGGAGCCTGGGGCCATCTGGAAGGTCAGAAGTTCTGCAAAGAAGGCTTTTGTATGCTAGACCAGGAGTTAAGATGCTATTCCAAAGACAAGGGAGAATATTACATGTTGAAACACAAGGGAGCAGTGACTGGACCAAGTTTCTTTAGCGGGGTTGGGATGGGCAGTGGGCAGTGAAGAGCCAGCAACACTGAGGGGTCAGGCTGCAGGAATGTGGGAAAGTTGAGGGTGAATGGATGGACTCTGCCCACCCATTGCTGCGGGACAGAGGTAGGAGCAGGGACACTAGACGCTGCTGTGTACAGGTGGAAATCTGTATGCCAAGGGTCACTGGGATGGAGATTCAGGGAGATGGTACTGTAGCTAAGGAGAGAAAAGGGCCAAAGCAAACAGGAGCCGGGGCTGGCTGGGAGCTATTTACACAGTCCGCTGGCAGTCCCTCAACACTCCCACCAAGACTGTCAATCTGGAAGCGGCTTTCCCAGAGAACTTCCTGACCAGGATCCTTGCCACCCTACCCAGTAGGTCCCAACATGCTGTGTAAAACTAGGAGTCCCAGGAGAAAAAAAAAAAAGACAGAAGGAGGAGGAGTCAAAGAGAAAGAAGCAATCACCCTCTGCTGAGGAGTCAGGGGCAGCTGCCAGAGCTCTATTTGGAGTCTAGCGTATCAGCCAGAATTTAACTTTGTCACCACCACAACCCAGACCATGTCACCAGAGAGAGGAAGCTGGGACTCCACATCCTGTGTCCTCAGGAAGCTTAGGAGAAGTGCCAAGACCCACCCTGAGCCCCACATGCTCCTCTGTGCACAGCACCAGGGTCTTCTAATCCTCCTGGAGCTGGAGAGCCGCAGCAAGCACCTGCCCCAGAGTCTTTTTTTACTTTCCCCACCTTCCCCACTCCTGAGACAGGAACCCACCACCTTCTGCCTTATGTTGTCGCTAGTTGGGTACAGAGGAGTCATCACTGTGTGTGCTGAGCGTTCACCAAGCACCAGGCTCTGTCCTAGACACTCAGAATGACCGCAGACTTGGGGAAACCTGTTCAGGGATGCGCAGCTAGTAAGGGACTGCAGAGATCTGAGGGAGGTCTGTGTGACATCCATGGCTCACCTGCTCCTTTGTAGTTTGCAGAGCTGAGACAGTGAAGAGCTCAGGGATAACCTACACCAACCCCCTTACTGTTCAGAAGTGAAAACTGAAGACCTGAGAATCGGGTCCTGAGTCGACAGACTCAGCGAGCGCACCGCTACTTTCGCGGCACCGCTACCGTGGGATCCTCAGTTGCTTCCCAGGCAGCTGGCAGAACTGTCTGGATCTTAACACAGACGGAACGAAGTCTAGGTCTCTGCTCACACATATGGCCAGTCCCACGCCACACTGTGTTCGCACATGCTAGGCACTCCATGAACCCTGAGGGACCGGGAAGACGGCTCAGTGGGGAAGAGCCCTTACCCTGCAAGCGCAGGAACCTGAGTTCAATCCCAGCACCATAAAAAACCTGGGTGTGTTGGGGGCTGGAGAAATGCTCAGTGGGTAAGGGTACTTGTTCTTGCAAAGGACCTGGTTCAATTCCTGGAACCCACATAATGGCTCACAACCATCTGCAACCCCAGTTTTAGGGGACCCAACAGGCACGCGCGCATACACACACACACACACACACACACACACTTCTTCAAATGCCTAAAATGGCACGCCACCCCCTTGCTGGTCTCCATTAGGATAGTTGGAATGCCAGAGGCCACTAGGTGGAACCAAACGTTCAGAGTTGGAGGCTAAGTCCAGTCTCAGGCCCTAGTTTTCTCCTGTCCAGACTCTTAACCATTCCACACTATCCAAACCCAGCCCACAGCTTTTGTGAGCTGCCTGCAGGTGTGGTCCAGAGAGAGAAGATGGTGCAGTGTGCTCATTGTCCCTACTCCTCCTGAGGGTCCACCTACCGGCAAAGTGTTTTTTGCTCAACCATTGGCTGCATCTGCTTCACAAGACTCCCGCTTCTGGACTGGGCGGAGGAGCACTCTTTTGGAGAATCCCAGGCAGGCGCTGAAGAGTTTCCACTCCTGGGAATGTCACTCCCTAGAGTGTCCATGACCGTGGGAATTCCCCATGCTTCCACCTGGGAGTTTCCCCACTGATAGCTAAAGATACTTGGGTGAGAGGGAGTGAGAAAGAGGCTGGAGCTGTCCCTGGCAATAAGGTGGGTGAGGGCGCCTCCCCAAGGAAAATAATCCAAGCCCATATTTCACTGAGCAAACACCCTTAGCCTGCGCTAGGCTCTCAGCCTGCCTAGGCTCCTGAGAAGATCTGTGCAAACGCAGGGAGCAATACCCGACTTGCTTTCTAAAGCATAGCCACAGCCAGATGGTGGCGGAGCACACCTTTAATCCCAACACCCGAGAGGCAGGTGGCTCTCTATGAGTCTGAGGCCAGCCTGGTCTACAGAGCAAGTTTCCAAGACAGCCAGGGCTGTGCAGAGAAACCCTGACTTGGAAGAAGATAGAAAGAAAAAGAGAAAAGAAAAAAAGCCACTACAAGAATGAATTCACTTTTTCGCTCCACAGCCTATGTTTTATCTTCATTTAAAAGGACTGGAAATCAAAGCAGAAAGGCAGTACTAAAATCAAATATGACAGATTCTGACCGGGAGTTCCTGTCACAAGAAGCAAAAAAAAAAAACCTAAAAAGTTAAAAGTTGTATATGTTGCTATTTTGCAAATATAGTGACCCTGTTTCAAGAAGAAAAGTAAAGAGGAAGTTGGAGAGATGGGTCAGTGGTTAAGGACATTGATTTCCTCTCAGAGGACCTGAAAGGATCATCATTCAGTCCCCTGTACCTGCCGCACCAGGGCCTTACAACCGGCTCTAACTCTAGCTCTAGGGAATCCAGAGCCCTCTTCGCACAAGCGCAAATTCACACAGAGACATACAAATAATTAAAAATAACAAATAAAAATTTAAAAAGAAAGAGAGGGAGGGAGAGGGAAGCTCACCTTCTTGTGAAGGACACAGCCACTAAAAACCTAATTCCCAATAACACCATTAATCAGTGGTTCTGGACCTTTCTATACAGCTCCCCATGTTGTGGTGACCCCCACTGTGAAATTATTTTTTTGTTGTTGCTTTGTAATTGTAATTTTGCTACTGTTATGAATTGTAATGCAAATATCAGATATGCAGGCTATCCAATATGTGGCCCCAAAGGGGTCACAACTCAGAGACTGAGAACCAGCACATTAAATTGTAGTGAAACACGTGGAGGGAAGTGATAGGGAACCAAACATTCTTGGGACCTCCCCACCTTTGGCAAGAGGTGGAGGTGCTATCCCGAGGTCACACAGGAAACAGTCACAGTAAGATGTGGTCATTTACGTATAAATGACAAGAC